CCTTCGTAATTTATAACTTCTGAAATGCAATAGTAATCAAGATAGCATAGTACTGACGTAAGATGAACATACAAACCAATAGAACCAAACTGATAATCTGAAATATAAAGCTGTATGTCTACAGGCAAACAGTTCTCTCCAAGGATGCCAAGTCCTTTCAGTGGGGACAGAATGGTCTCTTAACTCTGACAAACAGGTTTCCATATCCAAAGTAATGAAATTGAATGTCTACCTTATATCACAAAAATTGTCAGAATGTAAAAATAAATTAAATAGAACAACAAAAAAATGAAACTCATATAAAAAATATGGAGTAAGTTCTTTTTCATGTTGAATTTGACACTGGATTATTAGATACAACATCAAAAGCGTAAGTCACAACAGCAAAATATAGGGCTGGAGATATAGTTTGGTGGCAGACCACTTGTTTATGATGCAGGAAGTGCTGGGATTTGTTCTGAGCACCACAAAAGCAACAATAAACAAAAAGGAATAAAAATTGGAAAACAGACTTCATAAAACTGAAAACCTTCTGCATAAAAGTATTACAGACAGCTAAGTTAGGTACAACTACTATAGGCAGTCAGACAGGGCGGGGCCCTTGACTGAGTCAGTGCAGAGGATGAGAACACATTACAGCTGTGGCTGTAGACACATTATTGAAGGCCAGGCCTCAAGATAAAGATGGAATGACCATGCTTACATTCCTCCCCAGAGGATAATTGGTATCACTTGGTCCAATAAAGTCTAGATAGACATCAGTCATCCAGGTGTGTGACCAGAATCCCTTGATCCATCCCTCCCTGAAAAGGTCCTTGTTCCTTCCACGTACACTTGCTACATTCCCTGCTTCCCCCTGGGTTAATATTATCTAAGTGGCTATACTTGTAATCTTACTGGTTGATCACAATTTTGATTCACATTATACCCACCTTGTGATTTTGCTCTATAAAACTTGTTAGAATTTTAAATAGAGAAAAAATGTCATTATGAATCGATTCATAATATAATGTAAGAAACTTATGCTATTTATACACAAGCATATATAGTAGGTGAGGAACACAAAGGGATAGAGTTTGTGACTGATGATGTCATCAATTTAATATAGATTATGGAGTTTGCTGTGTAAGATGGTGGAACAGAACTACACTGTGTTTGAATCTGGAGAAAAAAGACTTAAAACAACAAAGGATACAATACATTCCAAGAGGAGAAGGAAAGGAAGAGATCTGGAAATTAAGAAAGGTGATAGGAAAGCAAAAAAGCACAGAGAAACAGAAATAACAGAGAAAAGCACGAAGTTGTCTGAAACTCTAAATGGTCTCTCTATGAGGAAGAGAACCCAATGATGAAGCCTCGGGTTCAACTCAGACAGTGCAGCAGCAGCAGCAGCGATGAGCAGCAGACCTGCAGTTCTGACAACAGCAGGAACTCACACTTCTGCAAGCTTTCAGCACAGGGCAGGATTTTGCCTGGCAAATCTCAAAATAGGGAATAAAGGGCTGTTGAATGTACTCACCATAAAAATTCAGAAACGTTTATTGTGATTGAAGTAGCAATTACTCAGAGTTGACTAGTAACAAATACATGACACACACACAAAAAAAAACCACAGTGTACCTCACAAATATGTGCAAACATCAAATCAAAAAAGTCAAAACAAAGTAAGTTCATCAGAAAATAAATAACAAGAAAGACAAGACAAAAGATAAAAAGTGCTGATGAGGAGGTGAGAATCAAGAATTAAATTTACTACAGACATTATGGAAAAGACTATGGGGGCTCCTAAAAAGTTTAAAAATCAAACTACCATATGACCTAGTAGTGCCGCTGCTGGTTATATCCAAAAGCAAAGGAAATCAGTTTGCTGAAGACACATCTGAACTCACAGGCTTCTTGAAGCTCTGTTCACAGCAGTGAAGACACAGAAACAATGGAAGTGTCCAGTGGGTGCATGAATTGAGACAGCATGCTGCACATGCACATGGTGAGACGCTGTGAGCCACAACAGAGAAGAAGACATCCTGTCCTTTATGACTTTATGGATGGACTTTAAGGACATTATATTAAATAAAATAATACAGGCATAGGAAGATCAACGTTGCTCTATAAAATTTCTCTATAAACTGGGATCCCTGGCTACACATTCTGATCCCCTCCTGTCCCTCTGGCAGGAGCTTTCTATGTTTCAATAACTATTTCCTACTCTTAACCTCCACTGTTCCTAGAACTCATTCTTCAGTTTTAGAGAACATTAATTGGTGTATCAGACATTTAACAGATGAGTAATATTATTACAGTTAAATTACTTTCAGCCTATGTGTATGAGATGAATGCATTTTATGATTAGAAGATGGGTAATGAATCATAAATTAATTTTATATTTGGATATGTGTCCCCATTCCCCTACTATTTTATTATGTATATGCAAATATTCCAAAACTCAAAAGCATCCAAATCTAAAATTTCTGTGTTTACACAAAATCCCTATGGTTTCTCAAACACCTAAAAGTGGAATTACCATATAATCTATGATCTTAGTTCTAGATATTTACCCCTCCCCCAGATTTTAAATCAATTTGTGGAAGAGATGTCTACTCTGCCTTCTGTATTACAGCACTATTCATAACAGCCACATTATGCAAATATTCAAAGTGTCCATCAGGAGAATAATTAGGAAAGAAAGTTTATATATTTACGGTAATATTATTAATTCACAAAAAGGAGGAAATTTTGTCATCATGACAACATGCATGAAACTGAAGATCATTAAACCAGGCACAGGAAGATAGGTACTGTATGATTTCACTCAATTGTGGCACCTAAAATTTGGTTTCCTGTAAATTAAGAATGGAATAATGTTATACAGCAAAGGCTGGAAAGAGTAAAGGAGAAGAAAGATGAAGAAAAGTAGGCCAATGAATGCCAAATTACACATGTTAGACAAAAGAAATAATTTCTAGTATTTTATTGAATAACACAGTTACTATAAGTATGACAGTATGCTGTATATTTCAAAAAAGCTATAAAGAATATAATAAAATATTCAAATATTTGCATATTAGACAAGTCTTCTATGTAACCCAAAATTCAGAGCAGAAATCAAAATAAAAATTATAGTTTGACCTAAGTAAAAAGGAAAATATAGTATAATAAGATCCTGTAGAATGAAGCTACAAATACATAGAGCACATCTATACCTTTAAACACATTGGCAAGTGTACAGGAGCAAGGGAACCCTTCTACATTGTTGGTGGGAATGTAAACTTGTAGTCACAGTGGAAATCAGTATGGGATTTCTCTAAAAACTAAAACTAGAAATTGCATTTGACCCAGCTACTCCCCTTCTAGGTATCTTCCCAAAGGAGTTGAAGACCTCACATTACAGTGATATATGTATACCCATGTTTATAGCAACACAACTCGTAATAGCTAAATCTTGGAAGCGCCCTACATGTCCACAACAGATGAATGGATAAAGAAAATGTGGCACTTAACTACAGCAGAGTACTCCTAAACGTGAGTCATTTCTAAGAAAATGGATGTACCTTACATCCAGTGTTAAGTGAAATAAATCAGAAACAAACTTAAATACCATAAAAGTTCTCTTATATAAGAAACCCAAAGTATAAGCAAAGAAACAGGGAGACAGACCTTTCACAAATGAGAAGAGGAGGAAAAGATCAAGGGGGGAGAGGAGGCAGATTGGAGTGTCATGTACCAACTGTCTGCAGGTACATATACCAACTACCCACAATGAGTGTATTTTTTATGTATCACAAACATGTACTAAGGAAAAATAAAAATAATAATCAGAAATGAAGATTGAAAATGAATGATCTAAACTTTTTATTTTAACGAGCTGACAAAAGTTAATGGAAGGTGAAACCAGTTTCAGTGAAACAAAAAACAAAAGTGTAATAGAAAAATAGCAAATCAAGACACGGTCTGGAAAAATTAGTAAATTAATTAAATGGATACATTCTTAAAACTCCTCAGAGAGAACATGTGTCACTATCAGGAACAAGAGGAGATGTAACTACGGATTTTATAGACAGTAGAAGGATATAATGAAAAACTTTATGTCAAATGCTGGATTATGAAATGAAATGGATTAACTTCTTTAAAAATGTAATATCTGAAAAAAACCACAAAAATAAATGGAAAATTTGCGGGGGCTGGGGATTTAGCTCAGCGGCAAAGCGCCTGCCTGGCAAGCGCAAGGTCGTGAGTTCGGTTCCTGGTACCGGAGAAAAACAAACAAAAAAACAAACAAACAAACAAAAAAATAAATGGAAAATTTGAATAGTTCCTTGTTGAAGAGATTAAATGTACAAACAGAAATCTTTTCCCCAAAAAAATTTCCCCAGAGAACTTCACTAGTAAATTTTGCCAAACACTTAATTGAAGTAAATATTTTTACATACATTCTTGCAGAAAAAAGAAAATGAGAAAACTTTTCCTCAGCCAATCATTATGCCAAACACTGGCACAAGATTAATATTTCAGCTTGAGACACAAACCTACGCAGTGTGGGTCATTTGGAAGCTGCCTCTCTCTTTTCTGGTATGGACCTCTAGGTTACCTGGGGCAAGGAAACGTGGTGGGAGGGTACTGGGACAGTTCACAGGAGAAAACAGCCCATGAGGCTGACACAGCCATCTCCTAAGCCTGGGGTGAGGTTAGGAAGGCTGAGAAAGGAGACAGCTTCATTTCCTAGACACCTAGCCAGCCCAACACAGCCTGAAGGATCTGGAAAAGGAACATAGTCCACAGAGACTGTGATGAATGAAGGCCCCGTGCAGCCCACTAGAAGGAGGCAGCAGGTGGCAGCAGAGTTGCTGAGCAGATCATAGAAAGGGCTGGGGAGTCGAGCGAGAAAGGGCATGCTTGATTTGGAACATACTCTTAATTCGGGGCTCTGTAGCTCCAGGACTACAGTCCCTCAGGCTGAATTCTGAGGCGGAGGAAACGAAAAGAAAAGCAGACACACCAGCATACAAATGGTCCACGCTCAGTTTATTAATTCCTTCAGCTGTGCCCAGGAGAGGAAAGGTGGCATCTTCAATTCTCAGTGAGACCTCAGTAGTATCCCCTGCCTTCTCAAGGGTTTCCCAGTTACTGTGGGAGAACAAAACACACATGCTCAGGGTACTGACAGCAAACTCCATTTTGCTGCAAAGCACGCTCGCAGGATACTGCTAGGTGAGGGATTAATGGACCAGGAAAAGAATTGTTGAAAGAGTGTTCACAATTTTGTTTGTTAAATGTTTTGTCCAGAGTAAATTATTTACATTATTCCTTTCTATGATTTCCAGAGAACTACCATTTTTAATAAGCATATGCAAATGAGAAATTTTAACATTTTTCACATATAATGAAATTTTGTGAATGTAACAATTTATTATACTTACCTTTTAAAGCAATTTAGATACTGTGCATATAAATTTTACTTTTACTATATCTTAGAAACAACCATTTTTGGATTTGTGCATTGCAAACTTTTTTTTGGTCCCGTGAAAACTCACATACCTGAAGTAACTGTACTTACTAACCAACAGACCTGATTGTAAATTTGTTTTATGAACTAATTTACATATCTTACATATTATTAGCTTTACCTTTTTAATGCCATTCTAATAATAAGAACAAGTTCTCACTAAATGTAACAGGACATTACTAACTTGAATTAAAATAGACTAAAAGATTGACTAAGATTGACAGGTAAGTTTGTGGGTGTAAATACAATCCAAAGAAGTATTCTCCTTTGTGCATTCCAGCATAAGACATGTTCAGCTTATGAGCTAGTTTTGCAAACTAACTGTAGCTATCTTTTCTCTTATTATATTGCAGAAGGGTTCTTCTCTAACTACCACAAAAGTAGGATTCAATAAAAATCTAGTTTAAGAGTTGTTTGGTTAATTGAGACCTGATCCTTGAATGCAAAATATTAATTTGGTTTTGGTGCAGTATTGTGTCAGCTGTGGCTGCCTCAAAAATACTGGGCAATTTTTGTGAATTATCAACATTTTCTTTGTTACTTTTCAACCTATTTATTGACTAAGAAATACTTTCAAGGTCTCTTACCTGCTGGTATACTCTTAGGTACTATCTTCTGGTATGGACCTACACAAAAATAGCATTGACGAGTTAACACTAAGAAACTTGACTGCTATGTGGATGAAGAAAAGGCCATTTTATACAAAAATCAACTCTTTAAACATTTAGCACATTCAAGTATGTACGTTACTATTTCTCCAAACACCAAGTACAATACACCATACCAAGTTTAAATTCTCCAGTGAAGAGTAATCCGAAGATAGCAGAGATCATTTTTTTCTTTATGACTTCTAAGCACAGAATTTAAGTTTGACTCTAACTTCCTAAATCTGGTACTGAGTTAACTGTTTATTTATTGACATATATACATCGCTACATGTTGCAAATTGAAATTCTTCTTTACTTCAGGGTAGTCTGGCAGACGCTGGGAACACTTCAGCTGGAGACGCAGGAACTCCAGGCCCAACTCCATATGACAAAGCAAAGACTCAACTGCTCAGTTCCACTACCTCCAAGTTTGAATCAGCAAACATAGAAACCGTGGCATTGGTAAAGGCCCAGCAGAAGCAATCTGAAGCTTCTCCACACTCTACACTCAGTGTAGATCCCCACACTGAGGACATGTGGAATCACCATGAGATTGACCGCTATTCCTGGGGTGGAGCTTACAAAATTATAAAAGTGAATGTCCACAGCCACAGCATAGTTAAAAAAAAAAATTCACACATCAAGATCAACAGAGAACACAAAAAACTTTAAAAAGTGTTTGAAATCTCCACAGAAATCAAGGCAGGAGTAATGCAAAAAAATGGTAAGTGCTAAAAGTGTGGGACAGCAAAGTGATATGTAGAAGTCAAACAATGCCAGATAGACAGATATAAGTACATACTTATGAGAAACTCTGTTAAGAAACATGGAGGTTAAATTCATTCCTTTTTTTTTTTTGAGACAGGGCTCACTGTAGTTCAGGCTGCCCTTGAGTTCACTGTGTAGCCCTGGCTGGTCTCAAACTCACATTGGTCCTCCTGACTCAGCCTCCTGAGTTCTGGGATTGCAAGCATGCACTACCATGCCCCATGGAAGCTCAACGGGGAAGGGTTTACCAAGTGAAGTCATTTCAGACAAAGAAAGGAAAAAAAAAAGACTAATCAAGAGTCGAGAATTGAGCAGATCCAGTGGAAACTAAAATTCACAGGGGCTACATCCCTAGAGCACCCACAAATTGTGAAGCACTGAAAATTTCAGAAACCTTAAATATGCTATGTCTCCCACAGTTAGGTAATTTAATAAAATACGTATTCGTACATTCTTAGAAGGTTCCGTGTAATTTAGCAGGGTCTTAGGGGCTTTAGGGCTTTAAGAACAAAACCAGGAACAGTGAGGACAGCTATGCCCTGGACAGCACCCTGTCAGGGTGCATGAAGGCAGCTGCATCCGCAGATGGGTTTCAGGGTGGCAGCCAATCAGCAGCAAGGAGAACTGAACAATGCTTTGGCATTGTCTACTTGCAAACTTCCCCCTAAAAAAACTGCTGAGGATATTTGCAATTTCCATGAAATTTGGGGGTTTCCATGTATAAGTTAATTTCTAAGGAAAAATCCAGGAACTGAGGCCAAGAACTCTGAACCACCACTGTAATAATGGAACTCTTCATGGAATTAATGTCCTGGGTCTTGATATCTAATGACTGCTCTGAATCCAAAGCCAGAAAACTTTTTAAATGCTGTATCAAAACATATACTGATACAATATTTCAGACAAAGACGAAGGCTTACTAGCCACCTAGGAAAAACACACATTGATTGAAAGAGAATAGTCAGACTGACAACTGATGTCCACTTATTGATCTTAAACAATACATTACAAGAACAAAATATTTTAAAAAGAGTTTCAGGAAGTGACCCTCCTCTAGGAATCTCTAACCATGTAAGCTGTCTTTCAAAAATGAATATGAAAAAAGTCATGTTCAGGTATTTACCACAAAATGTTTAGGAACAAGGAAATTGAACCCACAATGAAGAGTAAATGGATTCAAGAAAGAATAGTGAGCAAAAGAGTTGATAGATGATTTTAAGTCTTAATATGAAAGTGGTAAAATATGGAGTATGGGGCCATACAGGTAAAAACCTCGAAGAAACGGATAGCAAAATGACCACAGTATGGGAGGATTCCTGGTCAGAACTTCCTGTTAAATGGCCTAAGCATCTTCTCTCATTTAGGAAAAGACTGGAGACACTGACAGAATTTAGATATTTAAAACTTAATTATACTAAAATGGTATTAATATGACCCAAGGGGGATTCATCCCACTTCAATGTTTTCTTGGATTCTACCTCCTTTCCTAGTGGCCCTCTGCCTGTTAAAGATTACATCATAGATGAAGGAGCTGAAAGCTACAGTGGTAAGTGAGGTTGTTAAGAGTTAAATGAGCGATCATCCTAAAAATGTTTGCCTGGTGCACATTACGCCAGAACTTTAGACCAGTGGATTAACATTTCAATTTAAACTATTCTAACTATAATGTTCATTTTCCTATGGACAATGCTGTCAGCCCTCATTCAATATATATGAATGACAATTCTCAGAGAGTTATGTTAGCTTATGTTCACTCATTTTCAAGATGAGAGATAATATGAGAGAAGAAATGGGGAAATTTGGAACATTATAGATACAAGAATGCATGTGTACACATGTGCATATAAAGGATGGAGACCACTCACTACAAAGTGGCTCTGAGAAGGATTTATATTAACTAATTGGCTTTCCATGTTTACTTGTGAATTGCCAAAGCCTAGGCACCTTGTCTGGAGATGGACAGCAGACTAATAGTAAGTGAACTTCTCTGTGAGTCACTGGTCACCACTGAGGCCTGTATTGGCCTGTGAAGCTGTGACATCTCAAAGGACAAGCTAAGGCCAAAGCTGAGCATGTTTGGCTCCAACCTCAATTAACCAAAGGGAGACTGCAGCTGCAGGCTCCACATTTCTACAATAAATGCCAGCCTAAAGATAAGGTAGTTCTGATTGCCATAATTTACCACTTGTGAAAATTCTCCCAAGGTCCTGCTCAGATTCCTGCATTTTCTTCAGTATTTCCCTCCTTTGTTTGAAAACCTAATAAATATGGGCTGCACAGAAAAATTCTTGGTCTTAACCCAGAAAATCACAAATTCTGTTAGAGGGTTTGGAACATCCTGGGGCCCTGAAATCATTCCAATTGTCTCATTCATTTAAGCCTTCATAGTCCACTCATTTGGGAGATTGCAGGCCTGATCAGCCTGCAATAAATAAGGCTTTTAAACATGATATGTAAACACACATGTACAGGCTTTTTTATGTACCTTTTTGGTCATTTTGAGACAGGGTCTCCCTCTGCAGTTCAGGCTGGCCTTGAACTCACTTTGTAGCCCAAGCTAACCTCCTGCCTCAGCCTCCCAAGTGCTGGAATTATAGGCCTGTGCCACCATGTCTCCTGCACTTTTGTGTTTGTGTTTTTGTTTTATTCATCATTTACCATAAGCCATCTATCTTGCTACATGTTGGTTATACAATACTGAGTGAAATAAGCACAGTCTTTACCCATGGAGATAACAGAAAATAAGAAGACATATATCTGAAGGTGGAGCAAAGTAACAAGTATTGTATCCTTGAGCACTATAGGATAACTCCCTTGGTCACAATACAAGAGAGGACATAATAAAGAAAACTAACCCTTTTGGTTTGAAGACACTAATTAATGGTTCCAAAATGTAACTTTAAAGGCCATAACAATAATGGTAACAGTAATGAGATTAAACATAAGAAAAGCTTTCAAATGAAGAGGTTCACTTTCCGGAGTGAAACTTCTAGAGAGTCTACAGATTTGGAATAGAACTGGACTGGGAAGAATCCAGAAAGAATAACACTACCCCTATGTAAACAAAGACTGTAAGTGGGAAAGGGAGGAGCGGAAGCTCCAAACAACTTACATCTACAGAGACATCTATCTCTCAGAGCATAAAGGGACACTTGGTTAAGACTACTTTGTAATACCAAAGATTATGGGAGATATGCAAGTTTGTTGCTTTAGAATAACTTTTCCTCAAAAAATTTTTTCAAGTAACCCAGGAAGAGGCATTCACTCAGCTGTTCATGTGTGAGCATAAACATTGACTCTCTAGTTCCAGATTCTTCAAAAGAAGTAAATGTCCCCTACATATACCCTGAGTAACAAAACAGATTCTGTGTGTAAGTTAGCATCCTAAATGTTTTACCCATCATTTACTTTTTGGTTCCAAAGAATAAACTCCCAACATATATTAAACTGAAAAAAGAAGAGACAAATTTGCTTAGATAAATACTAGGTACCAAATTGGCAAATGTTAATAGGTTGCTTTTGTATGTGCTACTTTAAAAATCACAGCTATTGTGTTAATTGTGGCTACCTTGCAGTTAATTGAGGGTTATCAGTTTATTCCTAGTGATATTTAACACATATCAAATGTAAGCAATACCTACTAATTTACTTACTTGGTAGTATCTGTTTGGCTGCTGCTTTCTGCTCTGGATCTAAATGTGAAGGAAAATAATGCTTCCTAATTAACACTTTCAAATGAACGTCAATGAACAACAAATGAATATCAGGTCATTCTAGAACTCACATTATACAAATAACCACTTTTAATGAATAATTTCAAAAGATTACTGAAATAGGTTATGCAAATGAGTAAAGTCTTTATTTACCCATATACCAAATGAATAAATTAAGTAAAGGAATAAATTCACATCCCCAACTAGGGAAAAGAGCAAGAAAAGAAGTCTTTATTTTTCTCTTATCACTTTCCAGCATAAGACATCGTTTAATTTTGAATCCTGTATTTTAAATTTTTTTTATTCTGGTTTTCAGGTTCCAACCTAATATCTCATCTATTGATAAATACATTACTAAGGGCTGTGATTTGAAACCTGTACAGACTTTTAGTCAACTAAGTAGTCTGGGCTGACAGTAATTTCCCTTTTCTACCTCACAAATAGAGAGAAGATGAAACAAAAAACCACAGAACTAATTAAAATTTGAAGGAAAAAATATATTTCTAATAAAATTTGAAGGAAAAAAGAGATATTTCTAATGACATTTGAAAAATAAGGGAAATTTTCACGAGAAAATACTGCCACTTAAAATGACCTTACAAAAATCAAACGAAAAAACCCCAAGGTGAACAACAAAACACTCACTAAGAGGCAAGGTCAACAGCCAGAGGAAAATGAAAAAATAAAAGTAAGAGGACAGCCTGAAACAGGAACACTTAGGATTTTTATAAAGGTTTAAAAAGGAACAGAATCCATTAGACTAATAATAGGAAGTAGGGAGATAGATCTTTCTCAAATGGGAAGGGTATCAAGAGATGGAGGAAATAGAGAGGAAGGGGAGGGAAAGGGATGAAAAAAGGAAGGAAGTTGTGTGATGTACACTGCCAACCTTACACAAGGAATATAAACATTACAAATGTGTACTAGTAAAAATTAGAAAAACAAAACAAAACTGAAAAACCTGAAACAAACCCCCCAAAAGTAACAGAGATTTAAAAGAATTAGTTTTCAAATTACATAAGGAAACTATTCACAATACTAGCTAAGCAGAGAAAATGGTATTTAAAAGACCACTTAAGAAAGATGAAAGAATTTGGACATAGGACCTTAAGAATAAAGTCAATACTTGAGGAGAACTCTTAAGTTCTCCCAAACTGAAGAAATGCTTGGGTCTCTACAGTGAAAAAGAATAGAGTCCAGCTCTTGGACTATCAAAGAATAATGAGACTGAATTTATGGTTAAGAAACATCAGAATGGACAAAATGCCATTTATTGACGATAAGTATTAGGTCAATGTAATTAGTTCTCATATTAGTCACTTTCTCGTCTGCGCTTACTTTGGCTCATGTTTTGGGGGAAACAGAGTTCATGGTCAGCTGACTAAGGCAGAAATAGCATGATGTGGGGCACAGATGTTCAACCCACAACTTCTAAGAAGGGCGAGAGAAAGAGCTAGAAAGCTAGAGAGAGAGCTAGAGAGCAAGAGAGCAAGACAGCAAGGGTGAGCCAGGGACAAGCACAGGCCAAGTCCTATCTCCACGAAGGCCTCACGTTCCAGGGCACAGTCAGCTACTGATGAATCTTCTGATAGGCAGAGCACCCCCTGCTCTTATCAGCATCCAAACACATGACTTTTAGAGGACATTTAATCTGAACCCAAAACATAATGGTCATACATATCAAAGTCACACATTGAAATTCATGTGCTCTGTCACAATCTATTGAATTTTATTCATTGGATGTTTGCCCAGCCAGTATCCTAACATAACCTAAGTTGGATAACTTATAAGCACTGTATTTTACTGTTCTTTACTCATTATAGTAAGTCCCCAAATTAGGAACATTTGATTTACAAACTTTCACAGATACAGACTTCATATTACAAATACCTATAGATGTGAGCAAATCGTGGAAGCAGCTCGTGTGTCTGCCAGACACTGTCACGGCTGAGCTGCTGTGTCTCACTGCACAGTGTGAGAGCATGCAGTAGTGCAGTGCTCAGTCAGAGCCCAGGATGTCTGGAAGCAAGAGGAAAAGCAGTGGTGATGTGCAGGGGACTGCTGGGAAGCACAAAGCTATACACAATGTGTATTTGTGTCAAAGGTGTCTATGACTAACTTTGTTGGACTTGTAACAAATCTGATTTACTAACGTTCTAGAATGGAACTCATTCATTAAGTCAGGGCCTTGCTGTATTCATATTTTCAGTATAGTTTGCCAAATTTATTAAATAAAGCACAAACTTATTACAAACTCAATTACTCTATTAGCATTTGCTCTTTTACTGTATGTTTTACCACTTGAGAGTGTTCAATGATATTTAGAAACTGAATTATCAATTCACTTTTTAGTTTTCAGCATGAATCTGTAAAATATTTTCTAATTGACTCACCTGCTGACATATGTCTTAGTGCTGCCTTCTGATTTGTATCTGAAAAATCAATTGAAAATAATGACTCAATTAGTACTAAAAACGTTTAACAAGTTTGGGAATGATTGTCAGACTATTACACAAGCAGTATTATCTCTTTTATAAAGCTAGCTAACAATAATTAACGGGCAAAGATCATTGAATAAAGATCAAGATAATAGTTATTGTCTCCTATACTTGATCTACAAGAGTGCAATTCACACCTTGAGTGTGGAAAGCATCAAGCTGAGTTTTCCTTACCATTTCTTTTTTTTTATATATATATATATTTTAGGGATTTAACCCTGGGCTATGGTAAGCAGACACAGTACCACTGAGGTAACTCCCCAGCCCTTTTTTCATTATCACGTCTAAACACAGAGTATGCATTGGATCTTAAATGTTTGATTCTGATCTTCACACTCCAAGTTTTGTTTTTTTAAATCCACTGTTAAAAATCTGATTACACTGTATAAATGAACAACTAGAATGACTTCTACACAATCTAGGAAAGCAATTTTCCCTTGCCATTCCTCACACAGAAGAATGGTAACACACACAGAAACATACCACACAGCTGAGGATAGCAACAGGAAAACTTCTACTGGAATCAATAAAAATGATAAAACTGACAACAGGAATTCAGCCTGAAAGACTGCAGAAATATCCACCAAAAATTAAAAGCCACCCCCCAACCCTTGGACTTGAGGTTCCAGGCCTTTGTATATTCAGAAGCTGTACCTAAACTCCTGAACTACACCTGGGAGCCAGACAGGCCATATCACCTATGAAACAGAGATAATAAAAACTGTGACAAAAGGCCTTTGGAATGCAGCAGAAAAATTGATATATAGATAAAGCCACATCACTGGACAGCAGGAGCCTCAAACCTCTAAAAAGTGTAGTTTCAGGGTCCTTGCTCAAAATTTTTTAAACACCATGCACATCAATTATTATTAAATTCCTATATAAATTTTAAATATTTTTACTTTTAGAAAAACAAAGACAAAGCAACCTACATATATTTCACTACAGTGTAACACATGCAGAGTCTATGATTACAATCCACTGAGATAATGGCAACATGGCAGGAAACTAGTGAATTCACACACCGGAATTACAAATGGTGTTTAAAAAATTCTTTAAGAATATTTACAATCTTCATAGAGATCTTTGAAGGAAGAGAATCCGTCAGTTTAGCACAGTGAAAAGAAGGAAGAAAATCTGGGAGAGATAAAAGAATGAACTGAAAATCATCAAACAGAAAGTGTGATGTAGTGATTTAAAACAATATATGAAAGGGCAGTCTTTCTATTTTGTCGCTGTTGTTTATTTTCCGGTACCGGGAATTGAACTCACGACCTCGTGCTTGCCAGGCAGGCGTTATGCTGCTGAGCTAAATCCCCAGACCCAAAAGTGCACTTTCAAACTTCAAAGGCACATTTCTAACCAAGATGAAGTAACAGAGTGGCTTTACCTTCCTGCCTGAAACCACTGAAATCCAGACAACATACGTGAAACAATAGTTCCCAGAGACTGGAAATGATGTCATGGAGTATGGTGAAGTCTGAGAGAGGAAAATAAACGAGGTGAGTTTAGTGCCTGAGACGCCTTCCTGTGTGGCAAAAGTCTGCATACTGTAGTGCAGTGCAGGGTGTGGGGGACCAGGCAAGTCCCAGCCGCCTCCCCGGGTTGAGGCGACAGAACTTGGAGTACATGGATGCCAAGGAAGCCGGAGGTCATAGGGGAGAAAATCAGAGGAAAAATGAAACCCAGGTAGAGCCACTGAGGCCCGTGCCAAGTGTTAATCAGTGCATGTAGATGAAGAAATTACCTGAGCCAGAGTAAAAAAAGGTAAAAATAAATAACAAACAATGTGAATAATCTCTAGTGTTCACACAGTGAGAGAAATCATTTCTTTCCATCAACTGAATTTAAAACTCTTACAATTCATACACACTGAATTAGATAGAAGCACTCTATCTACACAGTGAGGGTTTTTACCTCACTATTGGTAACTATTCTAATCCTACTTATCAAAGCTTAAAAGCAATGGTATCAGAATAATTGGATATTTTTATGCAAAAAAATTCCATTCCCTTCAACCTACACAATGATTGATTGAAAATTGGATACAGGTTGAAATATTAAACCTAAGAGTACTAAACTTTTAAGGGAAAACATAGAAAAACTTGGTGAAGTGGGTGGGTTTAGACATTTATTTGCTACTATACAAAAATCATAATCTACAAAAGAAGAAATTGATATTTTTTATTTCATCAAAATTTTAAAACTTTTGCTCTTTAAAATATTATTTAAAAATTAAGAAAACAAGATTTAGACTGGGAGAACATATTTTAAATCATGTATATGGTGAAGGACTTATACTAGAATATCTCAAAATACCCAGAATAGGACAAACAATCCATTTCAAAGGATTTCAACAACTCAATAATAAAAAAAGACATACAGCCCAGTTAAAATTTACCAAAAGCTTTGAACAGACATTTCTCTGAAGAAATACATGGGAAATAACAGCATAAAACAACTGTCAGTATCATGAGTATTACAGACATGCAAATTAAAACCATAATAAGACTCCAAGGTACTCTCCTAGAATTACCATAGTTAATAAAATATCAGACCATATCAAGTGTTGTCAAGGATGTGAAGGAATAAGAACTCTCACACGTCAGTGGTTGCAACTCCAGATGGTGTAACTAGTTTGAAAACAATCTGTATCTTTCTTTACAAGTTAAACACTCACTAACCACATTACCTAGTCATTCTATTCCTGGGTGTTAACCAAGAGAGAGAGACAGGATATGTTCACATAGACTTATAGCTGACAAAACCCAGGCTCCCTTCATGATAAAAATCTTTCAACAGCTAGCTATATAAAAGATTTCCTCAACATAACAAAGGCCATATGTTATAAGCTCACAACTACCTGACACTTAGTGCCCTAAGATCAGGAACAAAACAAACATGACTACTCTCTCCACTTTAATCTATCACAGTACTAGAAGTCCTAACCACAGGAAAAAGACCAGAAAAAGAAAGAAAGGACTTTCAAATTGCAAAGGAAAAAGTAAAATTATCTGTTTGCAGATAAAATAATTTTACATATAAAATTCTCTAAGAGTCCACAAACAACTCTTAGAACTAATAAATCCAGTAAAAGCCCAGAATACAAAATCAAAACACAAGAGAAGCTGTATCACTATATATACCAACAAACTCTGAAAAAGAAATTTAAGAAAAAATTTCATTTATAATAGCCTCAATAACAATAAAATTCTTAGAAATAAATTTTACAGAAGATCTGTTCTTTGAAAATTATTTTAAAAAATGATGAAAGAAATCAAAGGAGGAAAAAGAAATGATATTTCATATCAGTGGACTAAAACAATATTATTAAAACACCCATATTACCTAAAGCTACCTACATATTCAATGCAACTCCTACCAGAATTCCAGTGATATTTTTGGATATTTTTATAGAATTAGAAATAACAACCTTAAAATTCATATGGAATCACAAAAGGTTGTGAATCACTAATACAACCATGAGTCAGAACAAAACTGGTGGCATTACACTTCCTGGTTCCAAGTTATGGTATGAAGTGCATCATAAAAATGGATGTAACATTTTATCACATTTAGACCAATGTAACAGATTAAAGAGTGCAGAAATAAACTCAGAGAGAGAGAGAGAGAGAGGGAGGGAGAAAGGGAGGGAGGGGGAGAGAGAGAGAGAGGAGTAATCTTAGACACAATGGTCAAGATACACTGTGTGAGAAACAATTTCATTCAATAATAGTTCTAGAATAACTGGATAATGGCTCACAAAGAATGAAACTGGGCCATACACTTACATCATGTGCAAAAAGACAACTCAAAATAAATTAAAGATTTAATCATAAAATAGGGAACGAGAAAAATCCTAGAAGAAAACATACAGGAAAAGATTTTTGAATTTGGATCTCTCAATAATTTTTTGCATATAACACCAAAATCAAATGCAATAAAGGAAAAGTAAGCAAATAGGATTAAATTAAACTAAAAAGTTTCTACATATAAAACAAAACAACAAGTGAAAATGCAAGATACAGACTGGATTAAAATATTTACCATGATTTATCTAATGAAAAGTACTCCAAGATATATAAGAAATTCATTCAACTTAATGGAAGAAAATAACTAATAAAAAAAAAACAATTAAAACCAGGACAAAGGAATTGAACAGACATTTCCCATATATATATCCAACAGATATATAACAAGAAACATTGGAAATGTAAATCCAAAGTGCATAATGAGGTGTCACCTCACATTTGTGAAGTTGGCTATCATCAGAGGAAGGAGGAGGAGGGAAGACAGGGAAAGAGGGAGGGGAATAGGAGTGAAAAAACAACTTGCAAAAATGGAGAGAAAGTGGATCATTTGAATGCTGTTGGCAAAATTGTTAACTGGATGCAATGTTAACTGGCTCCTCAGAAGATTAAACTTAGAACTACAATTCTATCCAGCAATCTCACTTCATAGTGTACACACAAAGGAATTGAAATCAGGATCTCAAAAACAAACAGCTACACTCCTGTCTTAGTCATTCTCTTTTCAGTGGAACAAAATACTTGATACCCAGGACTTAAAGGAGGAAAGGCTGGTTTAGTTTAGCTCATGATTTCATCTGGCTCCAAAGCAGAAATGGCAGGGTGGAAGGGCCTGGGGAGAGGACAGCTGCTCATCCTGGAGCAGCCAGGAAACTTAGAGAGAATGGAGGATCCAGGGAGGGAGACAGACAGTTCCAGGCCACACCCCTAGTGACCTACCTCTTCCACATTCTCACCAGTTCCCAGCTCCTTACAGCACGTTCAGCTATGAATTCATCAGTGGACTAGTCTACTGTTGAGCACAGTGCCCCAGGACCCAGTCCCCTCTAAAAGCCCTGCCTCTGAACACATGAGAATTTGGGGTGAGATTCTAGATCTAAACCATAACAACTCCCAAGTGTTGTTTTTTTTTTAACCTATTATTAACAATAGCCAGCAAGGCACCAGCTGTAGATATAGAACAAAGCTGGAATTGGGGTTCTCTCTAGGGTCGAAATAGCAACTGCAAACCAAGAGCTGCGTCACATCCAACTTGGACTTAGGTCACCATCCACTGCTGAAATAATATTAATATCCACAGACTCACAGAAAATAAGCAGTCTGGTTAGCATTCATGGAAAGACAGACAAAAATGGAAAGCTAGATTACAAACACTTGAGTAAATATCTAAATCTTTAATGTGTAGATGATACCACATACGAATAAGCATTAAGAAGTTTTTTTGAAGAAACTATGATCTAAGTCTCACTGATTAAAATAGGACAGCAGAAACCTACCACAGTAACCACTAGAGATAAACTCTGAGAGAATTTAAAACAGCCACTTCAAGGAAACTTGAGACACATGAAAACACAGAGAAACAATTCAATGGTCTCATAGAGACAAATTAAAAAATGAAATCACTAAAAATATTAAGTGAAATTGAAAATATAATAAAAGTTTCAATAACAGAGTAGATTAAGCAGAAGAATCAGTGGACACAAAGACAGGCTATTTGAAAATACAAAGTCAGAAGAGAAAAATGAAAAAAGCATAAATAGGAAGCTTGCAGGAAGTTGGAGGCAGCAATAACAGAATAAATGCTTCAGTTATCAGTTCAAGAGGTACTTCAGAAGGGCAAAGCAATCGAAAGCTACATGAAGAATTACTACGAGAAAATTTTCCAAAATTAAATACTTATATAAATATCTAGATATACAAATATCCACAAACAGGAAGTTCAGAAGTCACCAGTCAAATTTACGCAAGTAAATATACCACTCCCCAATTATTATCAAGCCCACAAATACTAAAGATAAAGGGAATATGCTCCAGGCAGCAAGATAAAAGAAATAATCAACATGTAACAGGGCCCCAGTTCCCCTGACACAGACTTTTCAGCAGGAACATTACAAGAAAGTAGAGAGTGGAATGAGATTTTCATCGAACTGGAAAAACAAAACAAACCTGCCAACCAAGAATACTGTACTCAGAAAAGCTATCCTTTAGAGATGGAGAGGAGAAGACATTCCCAGATGAGAATGCTAAATATTTTTCAGAATGAAAGAGATGTTAATGAATTATATACATATGTGGTAAAATGTGTCCTATACACAAGCTATCCGTGTGGAGACTGTTATTCTCTGCAGGAGTGAGGGAAGAGGGATAACACCGACAAGGAACTGAAGGTATAAACGCGATGATTTATTTTTTAAGAGCAACGAGGCAAACATCAACATTTGGTTATTTTCTATGGTAAGTAAATGTATATTTGCCATCCTGTTCTCCGCTTTTGTGTTGGAATTCTTTAAAAATAAAAATATGGGCAAAATTATAAATCTGCATTCTCAAAGTGCTAGAAATTTTTTTTTAAATTGAGGTAGCAAGGTAAATTGGAATATTTTACCTACTGAAGGGTCAGAAAGATGCATTGCTAGTGAACACCTCTGATGCTCACAGCTGAGAACCTCTAGGATATCTGAAGGTAACAGATATGGACACATCTGTGTTCTTACTCTCTCAGTTAGCAGGGCATTAACTTTGACAGGTTAGTGATTCTACTCCAAAATCTTCACACCTTTAAGCTGGGGATATTCACAAATAGCTCACACAACATTGTGTGATATTGACATGGTACTTATAATCTGGGTAAAATGGAAGGCATTATGGCAGCTGCTGATGTTGCCTTACATATTATGAAATTCAAATGCTGTAACATTGAACTTCAGAATACAAGTTCAACTTACTCGCCACCTAAAGACTTCTTATCCTTTGTGAACCACTTTTTCAAACTGTTCCACGCCACTGCTATTATGGATACCATGAGGAGAACAGGCAATCCAATGTACAAACTTAGAAGCCAATTCTTTCTAGACTTCCCTGAAGCTTTTGTGATGATTAAACCTAAAGATAAAAAATACATTAAAAATCAAACTGCTTTCACTTTTAGGCGGCAACAAATTCATTAAGATATTCTCAATTACGGTTACTCAAGGAGAAAAGAAACCTAGAGAATTGTGAGATTTGAAATGATAAGTAAAATATTACTCTTTATTTACTTTTTCATAAAGTGAAAATGTATTTTGGATCAGAGTTTTAGAGGCTTTGGCCCTGCTGGCCTTTTAAAATTTTTAATTTTAATAGTGTACATTTGTGGTACATAATGATCACATTCACCATGGGAGTATGTAGATGTACATAACACATCTTCAATTTACTGCCTTATTTTTTGTCCCTGTCCCTTTCCTTCCCTCCAATTCCTCTTTCCCTCCCCACTTACAGAAGCCTTATTTCCATTTCTTCCTTCAATTCTTTGTTTTCTTTAAATGCCTTTTCCTTCCTTTCCCCCATCTTGTATCCCCCTTCCCATTTGAAAAGGTTCTTCCTACTTCTTCATATCTATCCTCCATTTTGCTCTTTCTTCATACTTTGGGTTTTTCACACAAGGAAAACAATGTGCTCTTTAAACTTGTGTGTCTCACATTTCACTTAAGATTATGGTCTTGCATTACATCTATTTATCTAAACATTAAGCTTAGCCTTCTTTATGGTTGAGCAGTATTTCACTATATAAAAAATACATTAAAATTAAACTGCTTTCACTTTCAGGTTGCAACAAATTTATTAAAATATTCTCCATTACAGTTGTTCAAAGAGAGTCAATACCACATTTTCTTTATCCATTCATCTGTTGATGGGCTTATAGGCTGTTTTCAGGGTTTAGCTAGTATAAATTATGGTGCTATAAACATGAGTATCCACTATGTCACTGTGGTATGATGCTTTTGACTCTTTCAGGAAGATACCTAGGAGGGGAACAGCTGGGTCAAATGCAATCTTTAGCTTTCGTTTTTGAGGAATCTCCATACTGATTTCCACAGTGGTCGTATCAGTTTACACTCTCACCAACAATGGAGAAAGAGTGCCTGGGCACTCTGCAGCTTTGCCAGCATTTGTTATTGGTTAGTTTCTTGACGACAGCCATTCTTTCTGGTAGGAAATGGAATCTCAGTGTTGTTTTAATTTATATTTTTCAAATGGCCAGCAGTGTACTCATTGGCCACTTACACTTCTTGTTTGAGAAGTGTCTATTATTTTAGATGCCTTTTTTGACTGGGTCTTTAAATTAGGGGAATTTAATTTTTTTTGAGATTTTAGATAATATATATATTAGTCCTCTGTCTGAGGAGTAGCTGGCAAAAATATTTTTTTCATTCTTTCCTGTGCAGTTTTTAAATTTGATGTGACCCAATTTGTTGATTTTTTATATTTCCTCTGAAACCAGAGTTTTGGTTGTAACGTCTTTGTACACACCTATGTCTTGAATTGCTTTACCTAATCTATTTTCCAGTAGATTAAGTATATGGGTTTTAATGTTTAAATTGTTCATCTACTTCAATTTTTGTTTAGTGCATGGTGAGAGATATGGGTCTAGGTTTAATCTTCAGCATGTGGATAGCCAGTTTTCCCAGCACCATTTGTTAAACAGGCTATCTTTCCTCCTCTTTGTCAAAGATAAGGTAGCTAAAAAAATGGAAACAAAGTTCCAGAAAGTTCAAGAGTATTCTACAGGACACAGCAGCTACATATGGCAAATTCTTATTATAAGACTATACACGCCCCCCCCCCAAATCAGTGCTATAATGTGGGATGATATAATCACAAGGTTACCCAAATTTGCACTGTTACAAGACTTTCGCAGGATTGGACTGCCAAAGAATTTCATCAGACTTGCTTATATCCTATTTTTATTTGGTATATTATTGACTTTTGATTATAGGGCGGTGTTGTTATATATGGAACCACTGCATTGCTACTAAATGAGCACTAGTATAAAAATTAGGAGACTTGATTCCTAAGCCTAATTCTGGCACTAAACAGCCTTGGATATATAGACATAAATTTAATTTATAAGATCAACATGAAGGATTTGCTTTGTTTACTATCTATCCTCAGTGCCTAGACCAGCACCTGGAATATATAAAGAGTTCAACAAATGTTTGCTAATTCAATAGATGCATGAATGACAGAAACTGAAGTCACAGTGAAGAAACAGAACATTGTTCCAGGATTTCTTCTGTCATCTCTCAAGCTGCACTTTACAGACTGTTTTCATTAAAATTATCAACTCTTTCAGACCAAAATCTTATCTTTTGTTTAATTTCTTCTACAGCAAAAATATATGAGGGGTAATTGAAAGATGCAGTAATATTTAAATTTTAAAAATTTATTATAGAAACGATGGATTGCCATCAATTCCCCTCAAAATCCTCCTGTTCATATAGAACACCTATCTCATTGTTTTGCAGTTCTAGAAGTCCTCTTTCATGCATATCTTCACTGGCACTAGCATGGCTGACTCAGTATCCTTAATTAATTTAAAACATTGCCTTTCATGGTTATTTTGACTCTCTGAAAGGGCAGGAAGTCACATGGTGACATATCTGCTGAATAAGGTAGGCACACCTTATGATAAAGACACTCATAAAAGAGGACTTCCACAGTCACTTCAGAAAGTGCTAAGAATGATGGAATAAGTGTGTTTAAAGTGAGTGGGGAGTATCTTCAAGGGGTTAATGGTAATGTGGGTTTTATTGTAATAATTGTTTAAAATTTAAACATTCATCATATATTTTGACCACCTTGCATTACTAGTACTAGATACAGAGAAAATGCTGTTAATGTTTAGAGCTGAAATCTCAGGATCAACCATACAGGTGGGGCAGCAGGTTGAAAAATATTGTAAAGGGGAAAGTCAATGATATAAGACAGACTTTCCTAGACACTCAGCTTCGATCATGACATTTTAACATTAGAAAAAAGAGCAAAATGAAGAAGGCATAATATTTGGTTTCCATTCTTTGACAAAAGTCTGATTACCTTTTAAATACAAATATTATTAGTCTCTTTTCAGGTGGCAAACATCTAACTTTATTTTATTGAAGATAAGCAATTTGAAGGTTTTAGAAAATGGCTATTTAAAAGAGACAGGTACTTGCCCTCTTCCCCGGCCCATCTCTGGGACTGTGCTTGGCAATCTGGTGGCAAGTAGCCATCAGTACAGTTGCACTCGTCTTTGGAATTGCATACCTAGGAACATTTTTAAAATTTTAAGTGATTTTAAAAAATATTTGTGCATTGAAAGTCAAACAATGAAATAGATTATGCTTACTTTTGTATCTAAAATTATTATGATCTTATTGGTGTGATTTTTTGAGAAAGATAATCCCACAAAATGTCTATTTGGTTTCTTCAACCAAAACACAAACACCACAAAAAAATATAAAATCACAAAAGAGCTATAAAGTGAGGCTCACATTTTCATCAAGAAATGTAACACCTTCAAATGTTTACCTACACTTCTGTGTATGTTTGCAAAACCACACTCTACCTAAGTTCTAAGGTGAAGAGAGCCTCCCACCCGCATGCTGTGTCTGAGATGAAGAGCTCTGGCTCCCAGAGCGGAATGGATACATACATCTCTTCCCATATCCATGTGCAGGGATGGCATGATAATGGTTTGAAATATCTACACCTGCAAACAAGGATCAACCCCTTCCCCAGGCTGCTTGTCAAACACTTACTACCATTAAAGGGCCCTTACCAGGATGGGGTTTTATTTTGTTTGTACTGGATGATTTGATTTTTCAGCAAAAACTTTTCTTAATCCAAGAGGACATCAGACACTTAGATACAGTACGACTGTAGTAAGGGATGGTATCAGTAGCTGAGAAATGCAACAGTAATTAAATAATAACAGCAAACACATTTATTGTGCTAATCTGTGAGTTTTTATTCTGAATGTTTTAAATAGATTTACTCATTAAATCTACCAACAGTCTGTTCAGGTGGATACTATTATTATGCCCTCCTACAGGTGAAAAATGGAAACACACTTATTTAAATTGCCAAAAGTCAAACAGGATGTAATCACAGGTAATCTAGTTTCAGAGGTCTTGATTTTGACCACTATGGTATGCATCCTCTCATAGATATGTAAAACATTTAATTTTGGGGTCTTACTTTGGACTCAATCTTAGTGAAAGAATGTGAATATTTTACCTTGAAACCCAGAAATACTTTACAAAACTTTACAAAGTATTATAAATACTTTACAATATTTTATCAGTTAGGATAAGTTTGTCCTAATATTACAACCTCACTTAGATCACTTGGTCAAGGTGCTGTCTTCGAGTTTTTCCACTGTACAGTTACTAAGCTGCTGCTCGTAATTAGTAAGTAATTTGTAGGGAGATATTGTAAAGGCTAAGGGCATGTGCTCTCCTTCTAAAACTTTTGCTCATTAGTTTTAGCATCCACTGATAATCATTTTATTGCTTTATTCCTTCTACTTAATTATTGTGTAAGGAAGATATTTTCTTTTTTCCCATTCATTTATGTAGTTATTATCAACAGTATAATAAATGTTACTATGTATATATCATCCAACTTTTACTTATTACATTTTAATTACTCAGTTAATTATGTATATTTTATTCAACGAACCACATTCTATTAACATTATTTTTATACCTCTTATTTGGACAGTGGAAACCCCGATTTTAATTTTTAATTTATATTGTTTTATATTCACAAGTAACAGTTGCAAATATTCATGGTATATAAGGTGATACTGCATCACATGACATACCAATCCAGTGAGGCATTAGAATTTTCATTTTCTTATTTTTTTATGATTAAAGTCTTCAAACTTCTCCCTTCTAGAGTTTCATAAACTATATAATAGGTTATTGTGAACTGTACTCATTCCACAATGCTATGGAATACCAAAATATATTTCTTCTATAAAATTGTTTTCCTGTCCATTGTTCAACCAACCTCTACACTTTCTGCCTCTATTAATCACTATTTTACATTCAGATGGAATATTTTTAGAGTGCATGTATGATACAGAACGTGACGTATGTCTTTCTTTGCCTGGCTTATTTCACTTAAATGTTCCCCACTTCCATTCATTTTGCTGCACTGTTTATGGCTGATAAATTACGGAGCCATAAAAAGACCTGAAGGAAATCTGCATGCATGTCACTAATTGAAAGAAGCCATACTAAAAAAATCTGCATATTTTATAATTCTAATGGCATGACATATTGAAAAAGAAAAAAATATAGAGAGAGTGAAAGGATCAGTTCTTATCATAGGTTAAAGAAAGTGCAAGTATGAAGGGATGGGGCACAGAAAATTTTTAGGGCAGCTGAAACACTATGTATGATAATAGTGTGTGCATGCCATCATACATTGGTCAAAAACATATTCTTTGTCAAAACCAAGAGTGAACTCTCAAGTACACTAACTGGGTGGTGATGTGTGAGTGTACATCATCAATTACAAAAAACTGACACTCTGGCATGAGATTTTGAAATTGGAGGAAGTTGTGTATAACTGAAGTGAAAGGAGTCTGGAAAATCTATGTACTTTCACTCAATTCTGATATCAATATAAAGCTCTAAAAAACAAAGAATATTTTTAAAAAGACAGACAAAATAAAGTTTTTCATGATTCCATGTATTCACAAGGGCAGGAGTTATCTTTCTTTTGTGAACACATTTAGTTATTTATTAGAATATTTTTGATAAGTGCCCAGTTTATAACATTTCCTTATGGCACCAGTATTTCAACTTAACACAAGGTGTTGAGCTGCTGGATTTAGTTACTCGGTTCAGCTCTAAATTGAAGCTGGATGCAACAGGGCCTTGCACAGAGTAGCAACCTCATTGATAAATTAACAAGTGATATTAAAAAGCTCAGGAAAGATATGGTTAAAGGAAACGTCCGTTTACTTACTCCATGTCCATTGCAACGTTGTGTACATGTAGATGATGCACTCTTCATTGGTCTTGATTCTACGCACTGAGAATTTACACAAACCTAAAGAGTAACACATACAAAAACATTTTCAATTCAGAAGGATCCAGCCACCAATACATTACAATTAGTAACTGTATAAAAAAATCATAACTATTCACGTGCTATAAATAATTTCTAAGTACCATGTTGGCAAGACCCTTCAAATGTCAAAAGTTGCAGTTTCATTTTCTTTTAGTTTTATTTTTTTAAGTTTCTCTCAGAATATTTTTAGACCCCTGTGATATTTAGAGGTGCCCTGCTTAATCATCAAATACTTGGAGATTTTTTTCCAGTGACTCTAATGTACACCAGGAGCTTAGGGTGACAGTGACACGTCAATGTAGTCTCATCAGTTGTGACATGCACTGCTCTTGTGTGGGCAGTAGGAGTGGGGCAAAAAGAACAGGGGTTCTTTTAGTGTCTCTGCCAGTTTTTGTTGTGAACCTAAACTTATACTAAAAATATAAAGTATATTATTTTAGTGAACAATTTTTACCATGATTCACAGCAAGCAAGTGGAAGATTTTCATGAAATTAAGATTGACCATAACAAAAATATCATACCAAAAAACCAATTTTTATGAAAATATCATGAAATCTTAAAAACAGTGTTTCTCAGCACAGGTGAAAGAATACCCAGTACTTACTGCACACAACAAAAAATTTATAGAAAAAAATAAATTTCACATGGCATACATTCAGTTTTCATGGAGCTATTATTCATGCCTAAGTTATTAATAAAATAAAACAAGTACTATGATTAAAATGTAATAGAGATGTAGATGAGTCTATTATGGAATGAAATAAAAATCAGAAGTAATTCTTAAATTTTAAATTGTAACAGTCAGAGTAAGGATATATTCCCAACTTCAGGACTTACAGAAATAACCCTAAATTGTAATTTTCTTACTTCAGTGTAATTGTCTTGAATTTTTTATTTTAAAAAAGTAGCATTTTCAGTGTTAAAGTGAAATAATGAATGTGAAAATTATTTACTTCTAAATATTAAAGCATAGTATAACTCTCTCCAGAGAAAAGGCCTCACAAAATGGCTTCTAAAGCCTAACAGCCTAATCTTTTGAAGCCATTAATGTGTTGAGTCTCTTCACTGGTCCTTGGCCAGGGTGGTGTATCTAACATCTCCTTTTGAAATGCACTGTTTATTGTTGGCCTGGTTCACATGAAATTGAAACAGGGTTTTACTATCTTAAAGAATCAAAATTGCCAGTAACCTTTCATAATGTATGATTTACAGTCTCATTAAAAACTATGTGGCAAAATATTTTTTCATGCATTGTCTCTGAGAACTTTCCATGTTGTAAAAAAAGACTCTGTTCGTACTAAAACTGACCTATTATATAATCTCAAACCATCCATTTGTTTATTTCATTTTTATGTTTTGGCTGCATGGCCTTAATAGAACTACTGAGCTCTTAGGCCTAAATCTCTGTCAAGAAGGCATTTATGACTTCTAAATCTGAAGATAAAGCCTAGTTTTACAGTTCATTTAAATTATAGAACCATTAAGAGTAACTATTAATACACATACACACATATGCATTTTACATGTTGTGGTACTAAGGCTTCATTATATATAAAATAAAATTGTAATAATTTGTGCAAGATCACCTATCAAGTGGAAGAGTAAGAATTCAAATATACATGCATCAACCTTTATAGCCTACACAAAGATACAGTCAGGAATGAAAGGCATGCTTATCTAAACTGTCCTCTATCCCACAGGGCCACCAAAAAATACATGACCATTAATTATGATATGTCAACTTGGTTGGAGTAAAAAAACACCTGCAGTTTAGGAAAGCTCAGTTCTGGGTGTGTCTGTGGATGACTGATGCATACACCAGCAAACCGAGGCAGGAGACTCACTGTGGTTGTGGGTGTCACCAACCAATAGAGTTACAGTCTAGACAAAATAAAAAAGGGAAATAAGAAGGAAGTGCTGGCTTTGAAGAGCTCTGTCTTCAGCAGATGTGTCCTTTGCTGTCACTGCCTTGAGACATCAGTCCCTAGGTCTCTAAATTTATTTGGAAGGATTGTTGTCAATAACACCTAAGTTCTAAAGCAAATAAAACGATCTCATTTCCCTCTTACTATGCAGAAATCAATTAAACATCAATTTTTTTCCTCAAATACTTAGGGTTACATAGAAATTATTAGCAAATTAAAATTTTATATTAAAGTATTGATTAAAGTAATGAATAAGACTATACTTTTAAAAAGTATTTTAAAGAATTTACCCTGCCAGTATCACATTGAGCACCACTTTTCACCACAAACGGATCGTGCCCTGTAGGACTCGAAGTATTGAACAGACTGATACATACATGATTTCGTACGTAAGCATAAATCACAGAAATGCTTGGCTGAATATAAGGAGTTCGAAAAGGGTAAGTACAAATTAATCTTGCACATATGAGGTTCCTGCAAGCATAATAAAAATGATCTGATTATTTTACATTAGGTGTTTATGAGTAACGCCTGTGTTTTCTTACTCTGACAAAAATTAAAGTCCCTCTATTAATGCCAATGTACTTAGGGAATCTGTAAAGTATTGATATTGACTTTTTAAAACCTCCACTGATCTAAATTTATCTTTCAGTAGTACTAATGGCCTTTTATGCACTGTGTAGATTTTATATTCACTGTCAAATAATAAATTTGCTCCAATCTTTTACATTCCCCCATGGAACAGAATAATGAGTAAAACTGTTACCCCTACCATCATGGACCTCATAGTATGGCGTCAAATATGATATAAATTCCATTAAAAGTGCCACCAATGAAATAAATTCTTAGAGAAATTTAAGACAAATATGCACTCTAACCTAACAGTTATGGAAAACTTCACAGAGAATATGGCATCTGAATCACACCTTACACATCTGTACATTTTCAGTGGGAAGAGTGAGATATTTCTTAACAAATTGAGGAAGCCTAAAATTACACTGTATACTTACCACTACACAAATTCCAGAAGTATATGAACATGCTTTGCCAACTACTACTGATCCCACTATGTGGTACATAGTAGGTTCCTAACACAAACTCCTAAACAAAAGGCTTAAGAGCTAGCTCTTCAGATGCAAGAGAAATTGAGCTCATTTTATAGACATTTGGGAGTTTTCTTTTTGGAGACACAAGTATGGGAACACATGTTTGGGAATACTCCTTCCATAAGCAAAAAGCTTGATTTTTCTATTATATTAGAGAGCTTAATGATCATCTACATTTAAAAATGTTTCTTTAATCTATAGCATGAGAAAAATGACAAGGTTCTAAATTTTTGTTTGAGATTCGCTCCCTACACGTGATACCTGAGACCACTAAAATTAATGACATATACTAAAGAGAAACAAAACATCAAAATGAGACTTAAAAATGTCATTAATATGTGTATGACATACCTCCAACCACAGAGTATATATCGCTTATTGCGATCCATACCACAGTTCCCAAAACTATCTACTTGAGCATTTACTTCTTCATAGCAAGCAAATGGAGCATTTTTTGAACCTGTGGAAGTGAGAAATATATTTCAGTTAAAACCCATATTTCTCCTTGACCTTCCTCCATGCTGTCATATATTATGTTTCCTTTACCTTTTTCTCCATTAATATTTAACTCAAAAGTTTTCCTCATGAGATTAGAAAGAAAAGAGATGGTAAACTGGAAGGTATTAATGTTCATAGTTATTACCTACAGATACCTTTATTTCTGTTTATAGGATGATTAATCAACAAGATATTCATATCAAATCTTAGAAGTCATCTTTGATTTCTCTTTTATCCCTCACCATCTGCCTCCATCAGCTGCTCCAAGTCTTACTGACAATATTCCTAAAGGATCCTGAGCAGAAACACTTCTCCCCTCCTCTATAACATCATTTTGCCATGCTGCTTTCCAACTGACTCCTTGTGTATATTTTCCACTCCTCACAATTCTCCAAAATATAACTCTCTGTGGTCATTTTACAAATAAAAAAACCCCAGGTCTCAGTATTACCTATATATCTCTACTGGCTCACCATCACCAGAAGAATAAAATCCAGTTTTCTGACCATGGTCTCTCCTCAGTCTGACTCACTCACTCACTGTACTTCAGTCCCACTGCCCTTTATCTTTAAGCACACCAAATTCACACTATCAAAATGTTGCCTGCATTTCTCTGCCTGAGATGCTCTTTCCCAAATCAATCTTTGAATGCCTCCTTCTTAGTGTTCAATTTTCTACTGAAATTTCATTTTCAGAGGAAAACATCTCTGAATGCAGTATCTAAGGCACTCTCACATTCATGAGGACTCTGTCCTATCACCCTGTTTATTTTTGCTTTTAGCTTTTACTTTGTCTTGTTTTAATTGGTTTGGTTTTTGTTATCACACCACCATGAAATATTTTAGTATTAATGGCTCATTTATTAGTATCATTTTTTGTCTGCTCCTTTCACTAGACTGTAACTCTATGAGAATAACAATCATTTTTGTGTTGTCTATCAGTGTATTTCTAGTGCAAGAAAAGTGTTTCACCTACTGTGCCATATACGTATTTAGTGAATTAATTTTTGAAAGAAATGAACAGTATTCTAAGTAGCCACACCCCATGATGTATTTTCCTGGTGGAATTTGGCATTCAAAATCAGGACCTCTAACATGAACTGTACCTGTTCTACTGAGAGCCATAGAGATTATTTTAAGAACAATATTTGAAATAAATGCCATAGTAATTTTTCCAAATTATTTTTCTAATGCCAGCTCACTAATCTCATTATTTTCAGTTTTATATTCCCCTGAATATTTTTTATTGAAAGAAGAAATATCAGTCCTACAGGTCTCAAAGACTTTGCAGGTGGAGTCAATTTAAATTTTCCACAAGTGAGTGAGGATAGATGACATTAGATCTCTTCCTCATGGCTTCACAGACTGTCTTAGCAGATATTAAGGATAAATAATGCATCTGCAGATAAAGATAGACCTGGAATTTACTGTGAAATCTTGCCTCTTGGTGTCAATAAGACGATTTGTGATGCTCTGGTCCTTTATCCTCTCTGCCTTCTCTAAATTAATGTAGTTACTAAAGTAAAGAATAACTATTAGAAAGTCTATCTTACTACAACTTCAGGTAACACTACACTAGAGAGGACCAATAAAGCAGAAACTGGCAATCATCCCCCAATACCCATTCCTCCTTTTTTCCTTTTTAGTAGTGCAACTTTCCTATTATCAGAACACACAGACACAAATATTTAAAAGAAAACATTTCTCACACTCCCACATTATTAGTTATGTTTATGTGACTAGGTTTAGGCCAGTAACCTCTGAGCAGACCCTGTATGAGAACTATCCAGGGTAAAAGCTGGTTATACTTTCATTTTATCTCTTTCACTCAATAGGTCCATGTATGGATTTTAGGTTGGGAAACCTTCTGCCAAAAACAGGAGAAAAACAAAGAACATAGCTTCTTGAATAATATCATAGGACAAAACTTGACTAGCTCTGGAGTCTTATGTGAGTGAGAAGTAAACTTTTAAACCTTTTATTTCTAGGTGTCTGTAATAGAAATTTAGACAATTCTCTAGTTAGTAAAGAGGATATGACCATGACAAGCCAAATACACTTCAGATATAAGTGTCCCATACAGAACATTAGACCAAATGCAAGAACTCAATAAGTAACAAGAAGGCCTGGTAGATCCACACATTTCTGCAAACTGTGACAGAGTGTTCAGAACAGTGAGGCTCAGGCAAGCAACTTTACCTATTGACTAAGGTAGGGAAGAGTTTAGGGTGCTTTGTTCAACAGGATCAGCTGTTTACACAAGCAATTGTATGGACATTGTAGATATGGCCCACTATGAAACTGTTCACGTTGAGCTTGGCTGAATAATCCTACTAGTATTTTCTGTTACATGATTTATGTAACTTCCTATTGCTTTTGATGTCCCCTTTATGAGACTCTGCAGTAGTACATTCCGAAACATTTCACTTTATCTCAGACAAAATGCACAACAACTATTTTCAAGTAGCCACAGTTCCTATCTCTTCTGTACCTATCTTTCTAATAAATGTAACACTCAAAGAAGGCTGCTGCACAGGCACAAGCCCTGTGAGTCAATAACCCCAATCTGCCATTTATCCTGTCAGTGCGGATGACGATGGATTTGCTGGGGCCTATGGCAAAAGCAGGGAAGCAGAAGCTCCCTGTGGGGTTTTGGTCACAGTTGTGGAAGGGAGCCAAGAGCTGGTCCTCCTCTCTGGGAGGACAGGAAGCCGAGAGCTGTCCTCCTCTCTGGGAGGACAGACTACAAGACTTGACCCCTAGTCCTTAAGCAGAAGGGAAACATGGACCTCTGGTGACACCGGATATATTGATGGGTCTAGCCATGACCCAACCCCACAATGGACAAGTTGCTGCCCAGCCCAGTTCACAAGTACTCTGGTTTGAAACCGCAATAGGCAGGTCAAGCCAATGAGCAGAGTTGCAGACAGTGTGACTGCTTGTGATGCATGAAAAAGACCCCCAATATGTGTACACGAGCAATTGAGCCATCCTGAGGGGGCTATATGCTGGCTGCTGGCTTGGGCAGCTCAGGAGTGACAGATAGGATACCATCCCTGTGAGGTGCTGACCTGTGGTGAGACATATGGGAGCCAAGAAGCTGACCATGTAGGGTATCATGGTTCAGCAATAAGCCCCTCCTCTTGCCAGAAAATGACTTAACAGATTCCTTCAGCAAGAATAGCATCTGACCAGAAAAACTGACTGTTCATACTGCTAGGAGTAGTGTCTGACCAGGGAGAGCATTTGACCAGGACCTAGGACCATAAACTTAGCCCTTCAGGTTGCAGCCCTTGCTCAACATATGGCCCAGGTCTTAAATGTTACACACCAGGCTTTGATGTTGCTTATGGATGAAACTGTTCAAATGAAAAGAGTAGTTTTGCAAAACCACATGGTTCTTAATTTGTTAACTACAGGTACTTGTGCCCTGTTACATATAGAATGTTACATTTATATAGCCCTGATCTTTGAGTAGGTGGGATGTGGGGAACTGCTCAGACTGCTTCAAAGCTCAGGTATCTAAGAACACCTGAGGATGTGATCCTGCTTGTCTAGCGCAGGTGCACAATGGAATATGGTTATGCGACCATGACTCAGCATAAATAAACATGCATGTGCTGTTACAGCACTATGTAAGAATGTAAACATGAGATAACAAATTGTATAACAATTATACAATAAAGACATAGGCAGCTCTCTTGCACTCTTGCTCTGCCTCTCTGCTCTGCTCCATGCTGCCTGCTATTGTTGCTGATGTCCTGCACATGTCCGTTCTTTAATCTTGGGACCCATGTAAATCTCCCTTGGCCTCCCCAAGTGGGCTGGCACTGATACAGCTGGAATCAATTGTAACTCATGCTTTTGGAAAGACCTGGTAGAGTTAAAAACAGTTCCCAGGGAAGATAGAGTTGCAAGCCAGTAAAAAGTCTGACCGATCTATCGTCTACACTCCAAACAGTTGCCACCTACTCTGCAGTGGGTCACCTGAGGGGACACCTTGAGAATATAGAAATCAAGTAGAAATTACGGGGACACCAATTCTCCCTCGTATTTCAGATGAGAAAATTGATGTCAAAATCTCATACTCCTTTGGAATGTATTTTTAAGCAATGAAGAATGTTCCACCCTTACATACAAAGAGCCTTTTAATATTTTTCTGCATCCATGCATAGCTTGCCTATCCCCTAGAGACAAATTGGAATGCAGAGGGAGTACTGATTATGATACTATTTCACAACTGTAAGAAAGAAGTAAAATGGTCACAATTACTTTATGTTCAGGCTCTTCCTATATTAAGAAATAAGCATTACTTGTGTTCAAAATGTAAATATAAACCACAGGGAGTAAACGGAGAATATAGGACTACTTGCATTCGTGTGTTCTTTTATCTCAGTGACCTAAGACTGATAAAATAAGATTTGAGAAAGTTTTCAGACAACCCTAATAAGTACACTGAGGTCTATAGAGGACTTACTCAGACCTATGAACTTGACTGGAAAGAGCTAATGTTACTCTTAAATCAAACACTGACTTCTAATAAGAGACAAGCAGCATTACAAGCTGCTTTTACATTTAGGAATATTATATTAATTTTAGAAGGTCAGAGACAGGTAACCAGGGCAACAGCCAGTTCCTCCAGCAGTCCAAGCAGTCCCTACATGAGACCCCTACTACCAAACAGACAGGGGACTGGGATAGGAGACATCTTCAGACATGTATTCTTGAAGGTCTAAGAAGGTTGAGAACTAAGCCCTTCAGTTCTTTTAAATTGTTGGCTGTTCATCAGGAGAAAGATGAGAATCCATCTGACTTTTTAGATCATTTGCAAAGGCACTGAAGGAACATATGTCCCCAGCTCCTAATTCAATCAAAGGAAAGATTATTCTTTTTTCATTTATTTACTTTTGAGACAGGGTCTTGCTATGCAGTATAAGTTGGCCTCAAACTCACTAATGTAGCC